CTAGCTGTCACGGACAGATAACGGAGTGTACAAAGCATCTCATTTCAAAGCCACCATGAGTTTGCCTGTCAATCACAGTATTTCGCTGACAAGGCAAGTATGTAAACAAGGGGAAAGGTTGAAACAGAGGAAAAGCCTCACAGATCACAGCAGTCTGGGTCTTAAGATGAGATCCTACACCACAGTCTCCATCTAACATTTAATTTTCAACTGCAAGAAGATTTGGTGTAGTTCTTAAGGGTATTTAAAACTGAATACAAATGTCTGTCCTGTCAGTATTAAGTATTTGCTACCTTCTTGTTACACGATTGTTGAAGCTGTATTTTGTAACCGTGGCCATGAGCATGGGAACAGACACTGATTGGGAATCCCCACAGTCCTGTGCTTCCTCAATTCATTTAAAATTAGCGCATCACTGTTCCTTGATTCCATGCTCTCTGTCCTCTTCCTTTACCTACAACAGGGTGGCCACCGTTACAATTTCTACATAACCTGTTCGGGAATCAGGTCCCCCCTCAGAGTCGGGAGAGGACAGGGAGCTGATGAGCCAAGGGCATCAGCTGTGCAGGCTGGTGTTATCTGCTTTCAAATATTACAAGAAGTACACAGAGCACACATCTGGGTTGTAAAAGCCCTTTTATAAAGCCATTTTTAAACAAAACCAAAAAAAAGTTTACAAAAGGAAAAAAAAGAACAGAAAAAGAATAACTTGCTTCAAAATGTCCCCAAAAGAGAAAAAAATAAAGGGGGACAATGCCAACATGCTCAACAGTAAAGGTTCTTTTTCTTATTTTTTAATACAAAATACAAGCAAAGGATACACGTACTTAACAGAGCACAGGAGCAGACACGCAGCCCTGGAAACCCTTCCGTAAAAGCGAAGCGGGGGTTTGTTTTTCTTTGTCTATGCAGATACCTACAGAGACTGGGATATGTAAAAATTAAGTATCACAAAAGACCATCACACGATTCTACCAATGCATGTTGTATCTATAATTCACGAACATGGTCAACAAATCATGTTCACTTCAACCCCATCTCATTTAAATTAAAGGAAAATAACTTTTAAATAAAGTGGTTACATTCAAACTTTAACCTCCTTAGTACCATGCTGCAGATTTCAGCACTGTTAAGGTATTGCAAGAATGCCCAACCCTCTGGTGTCTGATCACCCGGCTAACAACACTGCAGTGCGAAGAAAGGTCGATCTCATTTGTTAATACGCTTCAGCAGGTCCCTCTTCCTCTTTTTTACCCTTCCTGCTCAGAACACAAAAGATCAAAGACTAAAATCAAGGAAGACTGGGAGTTTTAGAGCTGGCAAATCAAAGTCTGAGAGACAAAGCAAGGTGAACAATTATTGAGAACTTGGCTGCTGCCTAACCTGGCAAGTCTTAAGAGTCTCCGTACATCTTACAGGAATCAGGTAAGCTTTGCTGCAACACATTCATGGTAAACAAACTAAGTAGAGCTCTTATTTACAAATCTTGTAACAAATACTTCTGGAGGGGGAAAAAAAAGAAAGGAATTCACCAATTTCCGTAAGACAAAGGTTTAACAGCCAGACATATACAAACACACACCCCCACACACATACTCACACAAACAATATTTCGGGGCGGGTTATACATATTATTTTAGGGTATAAACTGAATACTATACCCACATCCATCAAAAAAAGGGACAAAAGCAACCCAATTTTACCCTCCCCCCATAATCTAGAAAACCCTCCCTTCACCCCGATGTACAAAGTGTATGCACAATGGTGGCATTCTATCCGCCACACAAAGCATGCTCACACAGATGTCACCAGTTTAGTCGCTCCATTGGCATGGCAACAGGCAGGTTTATGGGATTTTTCCCAATAGTGGTTATTACACAGTCAGCACCACTGTGAATTTGTGAATTAGGCTATGAAAAAAGTGTAATTTATGGACTTGGGATTAAAATAGAATCATGTTGTATTGAGTATACCCAAGACAAGGGGGAAACAGGTCAAGATTGAAACTTAGCTATAGACAGCTTGATGTCCCAATATTCAATAAATCTACTCTTTGCTTCAAACAAATGCAGCTTCATCCACAGAGAGAGACAATTTTAAACCCTCGAGAGCAGGCAGGAAATAGATTATTACTTGTTCTAGGTAAGTATCTCAGTCTAAACATCACAAAGCCCATGACCTCGGCATCTTCTTCCCCAACTCCTAGGGTGGTCATTTGTTCTCAGCACAGCCTCTGAGAATGCCAGCAAAGGGCCCGTGCCTCATTACAACAGCAACAGAAGCTGTGGTCTCTTTTTAAAGCTTTCCCATTTGCTTGTGGGATCCAATTCTACTCTTGCTCTCTACAGCTCTCAAAGTGTCTTCTAAGAGAAACTAGTTCGCTTGAGAGATCACAGATTTAAAAAAGAAAAAAATTCATCAGTTTAGCTGATTAAATCCACAAGAATGTCAAACACCTTTACTAGATTTATAACCTTAAATTCCACTCTTGATTTGTTATCTGTAATAAAATGCTATCTGAATCTGTCACAAAAGTATGTCATTTATGATTTTGAACTAGGTAAACCAGTTATTGTGAAAAAGAAATTCACCACCAAAGCTCCTTCAAGGGAACTGAACTACTACTTTACGAGATGTAAAGATTTCCGTTCATCACTCCCCAAGAATGACAACCAATCACTGTCCTTTATGGAATCAAGATGGCGTAGAGATATTTTAAGGAGGCAAGAAAACAAGACAAACCCATCACGAAAAAAATGAAAACAATCCTTTGTGCCTCCCGCAAAGCCCCCAACAATTCTGAGATGAGAGCCAGGAGCAGCAGCAGGATCAGCTGAGAGAGAAGCTACCCAAATCTGTAGAGGCGGGTAGGGGTATGAAAAAAGAGGCGCAAGAACCAAAATGTAGTGTCAGTCAGCACAGATGCCCAGACTTTTGTCAAGGTCAACCTAGGGAATTCTGGTAACACAAACAAGCACCTTCAAACTGAATGTCCCCCAACCTGAGCATTGCAAAGACAGTGAGTGCTACCATTAGTTCACCATAGGCACACTAGACAACATGGGGAAGGTCAGTCAAGGGCGGTGCCCAGGGCCTGGCCAGTCACTACAGGCTTCCAGCTAAAGTGTGTCCTGACATCACTACCAAGCCCGACTACTGAGCACCTATTTCCAGTTGAGTCACAACTATCTTCCTGTCTGCAAAAAAGATTTGAGGGGAAGACTAGATTTGAAATCACCCATAAAAACTGGAGAACACCAAAGTCATTTGGAGACTGCTTCACACGGAGGCAGATATATCTGTCCAGCCTACTAGAAACATGACACATTCATCCATTTAATGAATTAATTTTTAAAGGAGTCCTAAAAAAGACTAATCCAATGTATAGGTAACCTAGAAGATAGAATTACCTGTACATATGTGTACATATGACAATGAGAAATGTCAGAGCAGGATATAAAGAGGCTGTTACATACACACACGCTAAAATTTTAAAACAGCCCTCCCTTTCAATCTTCATAAACTAAAACCTAACAAAAGCCCAAATATTAATAGGAATGTAAGACGTTATAAGCCCCTAAAAAAAGAAAAAGGGGGGAAGAAAAAAGAAGTGCATGGTGGAAACACTGGGAATTATTTTTACTCTATCGACACAAACCTGTTAAAACTGGAAACTTAGGCAAACCCACTAGAGCAAACAGAACAATCTACAACACCCTCATGACAAAGTCCACTGCTGCAAACTGAACCACCAGGAAAGATAACAGACCCACCACTACCCGGGCTCAAATCCTGTATTTTTTGGCTATGTGACTAAAAAGCTCGCTATTCACTCTTATCAATGAAGAGGAGTTAAAAGTAACAATGTTTCTGAAAGTGTCTTAAAACCAGGGTAAAAATATTCCAGAAACAATCACCCTTCATCTAGCAAAATCTGCAAGAAATCCATGTTGTCTGAGAAAAACATGCTGTCACTTAAGATAGGAGAAAAAAAAAAAATCACACAAATAGGGTAGTAAGGAAACAAAGCTAGATTAAAAGGGCAGGAAAAATGCGTAAGTAAATCGTCACTAACTTATCCACTTCTTAGCATACCAGGACCCCTAAACCTTTCTTCTACCTGCTTATGGCATTAGGATGTGGAGGGCTAACCCTACAGATCCATCCCATTTTCCTAAGGCATGTACATTGTGTTATCCACTGCATGTCAGCCTCCTAAAACGCTTCATTCTTTTCGTTCTGGTGAGGCCCAGTCTTCTGCTTTAAGCAATGTGAGCAGTAAGCAGGGTAAAAAGGATGCGAGCAAACTGAGTAACGTGGAAGCAGCATTTAACACACTCCCATCAAGGAAAGGGTAGGAAGTAACAGGAGAGCAGAGTCAGGAGAACTGCGTCCTGGAGTGGGGCTGGGAGGCACTGGGGGAGTGAGCGCAGTGTGTTACATAGCAGCAGGAAGCTAGATGTACTTCCCATGTTTCTATCTAGGAAGGCAAGGGTATGAAAAGGAAAATGTTCATCCCCAAATAAAAACAGAGCATGGCTCTCATGGAGTCTGAGCATACACTTAGAGCTTAAAAAAGGGGGAAAAAAATCTCATTTCTTTGTGACCGAGTTTCACATTAACTGGAATTTTATTTGCTTGAAACCTAAATACCGTCAGTTTGAGAAGAAATTAATATAGATTCATTCTGCCATTTAAATTCTAGGGTGGGGTTTTCTTTTGATCCTTGGTTAAAATTTATTTTTTTTTAAAAAGAATACATATATATTTTTAAAACATGAACTAGAGAATGAAATAAGAAATCAAGAGTGATTTCAGTTTTGGCGGCCCCTGATTTCATAATTTAAGCTCCCTAAGGACTAGAGCGAGCTCAAAGGATCACTGGCTCCATGTCTCTTCGAGATTACTAATGATGGAATAAAAAAGAAAACCCACACCCTCAAATAAGGCCAGGGAAGTCCATTTCCCTCCCCCCGCCCCAAGGTAAAAAATAGGAGTACTTTTAGTAATAATTCAGAATTCATCTTTATCTCATCCCTGCCTCATCAGGGGACATGTCAAGTCATGATTTCCAAGACAATCATACTTGTTTTCACAGACACACCATCTTCGAATAGATGACAGCTGATGTTTTGAAAAGTCCATCATTTTTCACTTGAACCTTTTTTTTGTTTATGTTCAACTTCAGATAGTTTAGAAAAAGCAGTTTCCATAGTGTTTATCTCAAATCTTATTGCTTTACAACTGTGACAAACCTTCCTTTAAAAATAAAAAGATGAAGCAGTCAATCCAGTGATTAATTTGACATGGCTTTCATTGGAAAGGGGCAGAGTGGCAAAGAGAAAACCCATAGATCAAAAGGTAACTTAAACATACAATGGTTTTCTTAGAAAGAAGGGAGAAAAAGAGACTGAGAATTCCACCACATGGAGGAAAGCATGAAAGCCCAAGAGTCAAGCCATTGCCAAAACCACGTTTTCTTAAGTAGGTTCTCTTCCCCCCTCTCTTTATCTTTTTTTTCTTTTTTCTTTTTTAATAAAATCTCTCCCCCAACCACCATCACTTTTAATCTTCCCCAGACTGGGCTTCATCTTCAGACCCTTCATCCCCTGACTTCTCGGGTGGGGGGCTTGCTGATGTTTTCTTCTCAGGGGGGCTTTCTGGTTCCTCATCTTCTTCTTTGGGAGAAGGAGTCTTTTCCTTTGATGCCTTTGAAGCTGTGGGGCGGCCCACTTTCCCTTTGCCTTTCACTGGACTTGGTGTCACTGAAAGGAAAAAAAGGAAAAGATTTTGGGGAAGGCAAGAGAAAAAGTCCAACAAAAATAGGAGTTGGATGGGAAATGGAACAGCCAGGACACAAACCAGTGCCCATATTAGATCCTGGCACTCTAAATGTGAGGATTCAGCCACTGAGCCATCACGCTAGGCCCTGGCTCTTGAAATTTTTAAAACAGCAATTTATTTCATTTTTATTTATTTGAAATGGCAGAATGACAAAGATAGAAAGACACAGATCTTCCAACTGCTGGTTTACTCACATAAATGCCTGTAACAGCCAGGGCAAGGTCAGGCTGAAACCAGGAGTCAGAAACTCTATCTAGGTCTCCCTTACGTAGTGACCCAAAACCTAAGTCACCATCTACAGCCTCTTTGGCGCACTGGTAGGAAGGAAGCTTGATCAAAACCAGAGAATCCAGGAATTGCACTGGCACTCCGATAGGAATGTGGGCATCCATCCCATGCAGTAGCCTCACATCTTGTGCCTCAACATCCGCGTGAAAGCAGGAATTCGATTTCACTTCTGCAAAGCTTACCTGTGGCCTTTAGTCTGGGTTTGGGCATTTTCTTTTCTTTTCTCTCAGGTTTGGACTTCTTAACCATCTTTTTGTTTTTCTTTTTTGAACTGCCATAGTCACTGTCATCATCGTCTTCCATTAGGAAATCTTCATCACTGCCGGAATCTTCTGAGAGGAAAGAAGAATTTCAACGTCCAACTTAATGTATACATCCTTCCAAGTGAACAAAGGGAAAGAGCGCTAAGAATGGTGGGAGGATGAGACTTCAGAGTCAAACACTACTGGATTCTATTTGTAGCTGAGCCGCCAGTATAGCTGGAGCTGTCCCAAAGCCTATTCACAAATTGCCTCCAGCACTCACCTTATGTGAGGGTTCAGTTACCAATTGATTCAGAGAGTACGTGAAAACAAAAAGGTGAGACAATCTGGATCAAAACTAAATCCACCAAATAACTTGTACTTAAACTTTCAGTTCCATGTGGTAGTACTGGTTAGGACCAAACGAAACTCATCTTGACCTGAACTGGATTTTTGTACCAGTTTTGAATGAATGAAACAATAAATTTGCACACAAAGCAAAACAGATATAACTAAGCTAAATCCATGGAACACCTAAATTTTGTTGTCATTATTTTCTTTTGTGGGAGGCAGGTTAACAATACAAATCCCCATTACAGCACTCAGCATAATTTTAACTCTAATAATAATTAACTGTTCATTTTGTGTTTGAACACAGATGTCATCAACTAGAACGCAACCTCCATGAACCGCCAACAATCCAGAGACTCTCCGACCCTCCTAAATTACTAATGGGCATCAGCACTTCAGGTACTGGTTGTAACATTTAGCATCCTAGAAAATGCCTGAAGACCAAGAACTGCAAACGGCAATCACAAACAATCAGAATACATAGGCCAGCTGCACGTACTCTCCTGGAATGGTGCCTCATCTTCCTCCTCTGGCTCTTCCTCACTGCCAACATCTTCCAGGAGCATTTCTCTCTGTTTAGAAGCTGCTTTTGATGCTGCCTGCCGCTGCTGGCGCACATTTTTGTGGTCTTCTTTTTCATCTTCACTGTCCTCTGTAATATCAAAGTTATCTTGATGCAATGATCAAAGCATTTTGCATTTGACAGCTATCTATAAAGCCAGCCCAGTAGCAAGTACAGACTATAAGCTGAGGCTTTACTTCATCCTACAAGAGTAATAAATAAACTCTAGCCTTAACAATCACCACAGCTCAAGTTCACAGAAAAGAAACTCGAGTAAGACTCTATCCATTACACATAAAACTTAGGCACGTAGTTTTAAGCAAGAGGAATGATGAAAAAGTATGAAGACAGGTTCCCTAACATACTTTAAACTTCAGAAATTACTTCACCCTAAATTTTTCAATTACTTTCAAAATTATGGTCTTTGCAATAGTTAAAGTTGAAAAATATTTGCAAGCAGAAAGAGTAGGGGCTGGTAATGTGGTACAACAAGTTAATGTGATGCTTGTGACATTTGGCATTCCACCCTGAAGTACTGGTTCAAATATCAGCTATTCTTCCTCCATGTGCAGCTCCTTCATATATCAGAAAAGGCACAGAGTATGGCCCAGGTGGGGCCATGCCACTCACGGGGGTAACCCAGATGAAGCTCCTGGCTCCCGGCTCTTGCCTGGTCTAGTCCTAGGGTCTGAACCAGGACAGACTTCTCTCCCTCTCTAATGATTTGCCTTTTAAATAAATTATTTTTTAAAAATAGAAAGAATGTCTTTCATTGATCTTTCAAAAATTATTTTTGAAAAATTTGTTTGTTTTTTATTGGTAAGTCAGATACACAGAGGAAGAGAGACAGAGATCTTCCATTTGTTGGTTCACTCTCCAAAAGGCCATAAAGGCTGGACCTGAGCCGATCCAAAGCCAGGATCTTTAGGGCCTCCCATGCGGGTGAAGGATTTCAAGGCTCTGGGCTGTCCTCCAATGCTCTCCCAGGCCACAAACAGAGAGCTGGATGGAAAACAAGGCCACCATGACATGAACCAGAGCCCATATGGGATCCCAGTGCATGCAAGGTAAGGACTTTATGCCGCTAGGCTACCACGCTAAACCCCTTCTGTTGATCTTATTCCAAGACATAAAACACGTAAACCCTTAAATAATTTCAAACTACTACCCTTCACAATGATTGAGCTACAACTATTTCAATTGGAAGAGAACTGAGGAAAGTCTCTAAAGCACATGTTTAGGACAATTAACTAAACACCCCTCAGCAATTTTTTAAGAAAAATTAATCTGGGGGCAGCCCTTGCAGCACAGTGGGTGAAGCTGCCACTTGAAACACCTGCATTCCAAATGGGAATTCTGGTTTGAATCCTAGATACTCTCATTTCTGATCCAGCTTCCTGCTAATGCACCTTCAAAGGCAGCAGATAAAGGCCCAAGTACACGAGTTCCTAGCTCCTGGCTTTAGTGCGGCCCAGCCCAGGTTATTGCAGGCATTTGGGGAGTGAATCAGTGGGCAGAGATTATTTTCTTCTCTGTCTCTCCCTTTCAAATAAATAACCTTTAAAAATTACTTTCACATATTTTATAGCCAATTTAAAAAGCTTTCAACACAGAATTGTATTTGTGAATAAATTTGGCTAAAGGGCAGGCTGCTAGACTTTCTGGTTTGTTGTTCTATTAAGTTTAGCTATCACTCGTCAAAAGACATTCCTAGTCAGTGTTCATTACTTCTACTGCCACATACCTCCTCTACACACAAATAATGCTGACCTTGGCAGATCTAATAACCCCAAACCTCCCTGGCTAAGGGCTGCGCTTAATATTAGTAGTTAGTCACCTTGAGGAGCTCAAAAAGCTCAGACACGTGAGATGCAAATCTGTGCACACAAGGCAAATTACAGCGTTAGTCAGGTACTGCAAGTTCACTAACTACTGAAAACGGTCACCACCATCTTGTTTACACACAGACTGCATGCCTAAAGAGGATAATGCAAAGCGGTTCGGAGTCTTACATGTAGCAGAAATTCTTTTAACCCTACATTTGAGTCAAAAAGGTAGTGTGAGGAAGGCAATTAGGGGACCACAGTCCAAATATGAAGTGGCCGGGAGCCACATGGACTCAAATTCTTTGACTTTTGAAAATGACATTCCAGAATCCACTACAGTGCATAACGACATCAGGATGGATTTGGCTATAGAGACTCCTCATTAATTCACATTCATTTTCTACATTACAATTCTTGTGAGAAAGCTTTTTCTGTGGTTATTTCAAAAAAAACCACTTCCCAGCTAAAAAGAATGGGACTGAAAGCAACCTACATTTGCGTTTCTTGCTTGCATTGGTCACTACTTCCATATCTGTTGGTGTTAGGTCACACAGAGATAGACATGCTGTCCTACTCATCTGATGCCTCGTATTTATTCATGTAAATGGCTCTGAGTTTGGACTACACCTGAGATGATCTGGAGCTAAAGCCAGAGCACAACATCCCACCTAGACTTCCTGAGCTGGCTTCTTGGGCAGGACCCAGAACACGTGTTTTCAGAAGCTTCACAGGTGACTATAATAAGCCCTAAGACAAAACTGGCGAGAATCACTGGGCTCTTTGAAGACAGTGTTGACGAACAGTGCTTGGCACATCAACAACCTGCCCTACTAGCTAAAGAATAAATGTGAAGAGAATTATGCCTGTCTCGTGACAGTTTACTACCTGCTGAGGGAGAATCGTCCTTCTTGGTCTTCACGTCTTTTTCTTCCGAATCCTCACTGTAAAGTGAAGAAAAAAAGTAAATGCTACTTAAAGTCTAAGTGAAGATACGTATCTAATGTCTGATTAAGAACATGGAAAATAGTTTTTATTTCTCTATTTACTTACAACATGCTCAAGCAGATGCCAAATGAAATTGCTTCTAAACACTCAAAGGAAAAAAAAGAATCTATCTAAACATGGACTAAAGCTTTTTTACATCACAAGAATATTAAAAAGAAAAAAATTTCTAGCAACCAGCATGGTGGTACAGCACACAATTTTCCACCTTTGGTGCCAGCATCTCGTATAGATATGGGTTCTAGTCTTAGTTGTTCCCTTTCTGATTCAGATCTCTGCTATTTCCTAGGAAAACAGTGAAAGATGGCCTAAGTCCTTGGGTCCCTGCATCCACGTGGGAAACCTGAAGAAATTCCTGACTCCTGGCTTTGGATCGGCTCAGTTCTTGCCACAGTGGCCATTTGGGGACTGAATCAGAGGATGAAGATTTCTCTGTAATTCTTTCTTTCCTCCTTTCCTTCTTTCTTTCCTTCTTTCTTCCTTCCTTCCTTCCTTCCTCCTAGAGAAGTTTTATTAGCAAACTGACAACCTGAGCTGGGAAACCACCTTCCAGAGAGAGCTGGGAGGTGGGGTGCCTCTTGAAAGCAGAGAGGGAGAGACACCAAAGGTTTGAAAAAAGGTCTGGGATTTTAATCATTCCCTGAGTTCTCCCTGTTGGGTGGCAAGCTACAGGTAAAAGGTTCTCAATCGGTGGCCTCTTAACCAGTTAGGAAATGGATGGGCAATGCTTGTGCACACTTGCAGGTGTGGCCAAGATTTCAGCAGGCTTGGACTGTCTCAGACCTCACTCTTGGAATCCCACATTCTACTTCTGTAGGGGTCTTCTAGCTACTTCCTGTTGAAATGGGGCGTCGTTCCAGTAAAGGAGCCCCTGGAGGTGTGGGATCCAGAGTGATGGTCTGGGTCATCCAAACTGCTGTGAGAGAAGTTGGTTACCATACAAGGTTGCAAGTTAGGGTATAACTCTTTCTAGTAAAACAAATTTGAAAAAATGTCTACTACTGATAAGGCAGAGTATAAAAATACACACACAAACACACAAAAACAAAACCAAAGTAAAGCAATCATCTCCTAAAAATTTCTTTCCCCAATGTTAGAAGCATGAACATACAAATGTGCCTTGTACCACGAAGAAGATTTTTTAAAGGGAGCTCAGGATTGCTCCTGAAGGTTTTAAGAAGCTTTGACATTCAAGATATCTTTCTTTTCTTTTTTTTTTTTAAAGATTTAGTCACACTTAATTGAAAGGCAGATTTTGCAGAGAAAGGAGAGACAGAAGGAGGGGGTCTACCATCCACTAATTTACCCCCCAGGTGGCCACAACTGCCGAAACTGAGTTGCTTTGAAGCTGGGAGCCAAAACCCTCTTCCCAGCCTGCCAGTTAGGTGCAGGGGCCCAAGGACTCAGGCCATCCGCTGCTGCTTAAGGCCATAAGCAAAGAACAAGACCGGAGGTGGAACAGCCAGGACGTGAACTGGCCACTCCCACCACGGGGTGAGGATCAGCTTACCATGCTACTACCTTGGGCCCCCAAAGTCAGGTTTTTGAAGTCAAACTCACTCACGATTAAAAACTGTATTTTCTTGCTTACACAACAAGTCCTATAAATAATGTTTAGGTATTCCCCATAAACTCAGAGGACAAATTACTAAACCCCAAAATTAAGTAAACTTATTTATCAGCAATCTGATTCCAAGGCACTTTTTTTTTTTATCACAAGATTTATTTATCTTGGGCCCGGCATGATAGTGTTAATGGTTAAGGTCCTCGCCTTTAAAGCACAAAAATCCCATATGGGTGCCAGTTCTAATCCCAGCAGCTTCACTTCCCATCCAGCTCCCTGCTTGTCACAAGCCTGGGAAAGCAGTTGAGGACAGCCCAAAGCCTTGGGACCCTTCAGCTGCATGGGAGACCTGGAAAGAAGTTCCTGCCTCCTGGCTTCAGATTGGCACAGCACCAGCCGTTGCACTCACTTGGGGAGTGAATCATTGACAGAAGATCTCCCTGTCTGTCTCTCCTCCTCTCTGTATATCTGACTTTGTAATAAAAATAAATAATTCTTTTAAATAAAAAGACTAATAGGAAAATCAACACAGCACTATTCTGAAGAAACACCAAAGGCACTTAAATACAGGTGGCAATAAAAAGTGCACTCATCTCAATCATTCCCACATTTAGAAGAGAATAATAAAATCAAGGAGACATTATATTATAATAAATCATGAAGCAGCTCATTCCAAGGAGAAATATAGTAAATGAACTCAATAAAAACTACCATTAAAATCAGAAAAGATATACAATGGAATTCTGGAAGACTTAATTCCTAACAGCATAGTACTGTATTATTTTTCTCAAAAGCACATTTTTAAAACATTCTAGCTAAGAAAATATTAGAGATTAGTAATAAAAGCAAATAAAACATACTAGATAAATGCACATATTTTATCGTGATTTCTAAGTGCCAAACTTCTGAGACGAACTGCTGAGAAATAAAAGTTCATTTCTTTGAACTGCTCATTTGTGGCACCATTATTTTAGAAGTGGCATAACCTAATATTTAGAAAATGGACTTTGAGGTCCAACAGACATGATTTCAAAATCTATTTGTCTATCTGCTGGGTAGCCTTGGTTAAATCACAAAAATTCCCCAACAACGCCTAACCTAACGGAGGTGTTCTGAGAACTTAGCAATGACATAAAGGAAGCCGCTGGCACTGCTTACCATCCTCACCATCACCAAAATCTCTGGAACAATGCCACACAAAATATAACAAATGTGTGCAAAGCTTTAAACACACTGGCACAAATGAAAAAATCTGGTCACACAAGGCATAATGACATTAAAATTACAGCTCATTTTGTAAAATCTGTTTGTAAACCAACAGAAAACTACAATGAGATGCTACCTCATCTGTTAGAATGTTTACTATTAAAAGGCAAAGAACAAATGCAGGCAAGGATATGGAAAAAGGGAGTATCATGTGCTGCTGGTGAAAATGTGAATTAGCTTAACCACGATGGAAAAAAGTATGGAAACTCCTTACAAAACTAGAAACAGGGCTTCCATATGATCCAGCAATCTTACTATGGGTACATCCAAAAGACAATCATTTGTGTCAAAGAGGCACCAGTTACACCACCTTTTTTTGGCAGTGCTATGAATGAAAAAATAAACTGGGATATTATTCAGCGGTAAGGAGGAGATGCCAGAGTGGTGGTGCAGTGTTGAGCCATATCCCACACGGGCACCGGTTCAAGTTCTGGCAAGTCTGTTTCCGATTCAGCTCCTTGGGAGAGCAGCACAAGATAGTCCTACCCTCACATGGGAGACTTGCATGGAGCTCCAGGCTCCCAGCTTCAGCTTGGCGTAGTCCCGGCCACTGCAGCTATTTTGGAAGAGAACCAACAGATTTCTCTTTCCCTTCATTATAACTGCCTTTGAAGCAAATAAAAATCTTTATGAAACCAAAAACCCCTGCACCTAGATGGTAATTACTACAGGCTGGAAGGGGATGATGGAGAGGGAGGAGGATGGGACAATGCACACAGAACATCAGTGTTAGATCAACAGAAAAGTTCCTAGTGTTACCCAGCACACCGGGGAGACAAGTCACATATATTATATTAACAAACAGAAGCAGCAATCTTAGATCCTCAGATCATAAGTAATGTCAGAGAAAGGGAAATGCTGATTGTTTTAATCAGTACACGCTATATATATGCACTGATGTGTCACACTGTAGCCTATAACATGAAGTTACTTTAAAAAAGATTACATGATTACATTATTAAACAGAGCAGAATAATGAGGTAACAAAGGACATATTTAAGTCATTTTTCTGTTATGTTCAGAGAAGTGTGAGGCAGTAACAAAGGCCTTCTTGCAGACCACTTGGATCAATTAAATCCAAACACACTTCTAGACCAGAAGCACAGCCTGAGAATATGAGAAATGCCAGATGTTAAATGGGCTAGTATTTCCCAAATGCATGTTTAGATTCTACCAATTTAGAGATCATGGACTGCCCTCATTTCAGTGTAATAACAGTGAAAACAGAAAGATAAAACAATGCCTCTTACCTATCTTCTTGTGAATTCTTTCCAGATCGCCTCTTATTTTTAGCTTCTCGGGGAGATGATCGAATTTTCTTAGCAGGAGGGCCTGAATCTCTTCCATAATCTTCATCTAAATGGAACATTAAAAAAAATAAATTTTCTATATTTAATTCTGAGATGTTAAAAATCATAACTGGCTGTTGGGGCACTTGGAGGCTGAATCAGCAGAGAATATCTGGCACTGTATACTATGAATAAACAAACAACAACAAAAGGTCAGAAGAGCAAGATTTGCTTCTTTCATTTTAATAAAGCATTTATTCATTTGTACTTTATGTGAAAGGCAGAGAAACACAGATGCAGGCGGATGGAGACCCAGACAGTCCTCCCAGGCTGCACATTAGTAGGCAGGTGGTTGAGAGGAAGGGCCAGTACTTGAACCACACACTCTGAAATGGGCTCTGTGGGTATCCCAATCAGAGTAATCACTATGCCAAACGCCAGCCCCTTTCACTATTTCAGATTATTTTCCACTGCAGTCCTACTATTTAACCTCTGCTCCTGTATATTACCTTCCAATCTGCATTATATTAATTTATATATCAGCAAGCATCTCTTATCATTCCGTAGCTTCATAAAAATTCCATATGTTCCAACATATGTGAAATTACTACAGTAATGGATTACCAGCATGTTTTAAACAAGTTCAACTCCTATTATTGTGAAAATTTATAATTGTAAACTTTTATAATTATAAAAGTTCAACTTTATAATTACTGTTATCAAGGAAATTCATTCTAAATTAAGTATTAAATACATACTTTGTAAACTCTGGCTTTTGAGAATACTATGCTTCAAAAGCAAAACAAGGGGTTAGCACTACTGCACAGTAAACTAAGCCGCTAGCTTCAACACCAAGATCCCACACAGAAGTACAAGTACCAGTTGAAGTCTTGGCTATTCCGTTCTGTCACAGCTCCCTGCTAACCTTTCTGGGAAAGCAGCAGAGATTAATACAAGTATATGGGCCCCTGCCATCCACAAGAGACACCCAGATGAAGCTCCTGGGCTCCTGACTTAGACCTGGATCAGCCCTGGCCATTGTGGCCTTTGGGGAAGCAAAATAGCAGATAGAAATCTCTCTCTATTCTCTTTAAAAACAAAAATAAATAAACAAACAAACAAACAAAAATTTTAAAGTCCTATAAACCTAAAAGAAAATTATCTTACAAGCTGATTATTTTCAAAACCATGTACTATGCTAATATAGAAAATAACTGGAAGTAGCCTGGAGCCTCAGCTATTACTAAACATCTGGACACAACATAAGTTTAATTGTGGAATATCATAACCATTAGAAGGGATTTCTCAATTAATTTTTAGTAACATGATACAAATAAATCAAAAATATTACAGAGTAAAGGATAAGACTACAGCAGACCTTCAACTACATTTTCTTTTGTTTTAAAATTTATTTATTTTTAAATTTATTTTATTGGAAATGCAGATATATAGAGACAAGGAGATAGAAAGATCTTCCATCCACTGGTTCATTCCTCAAGTGACTGCGGTGGCCACAGCTGAGCCAATCTAAAGCTTCTTCCAGGTCTCCTACATGGGTGCAAGGTCTCAAGGATTTAGGCCATCCTCAACTGCTTTCCCAGGCCACAAGCAGGGAGCTAGATGGGAAGTGGAGCAGCCAGGACACAAACAGAAACCCATACGTGATCCCAGTGGTTGCAAAGCCAGGATTTAGCCACTAGGCCATTGTGCTGGATCCTGGCTATTTAAATTTTACAATCCAAAATAAGGTAAGAAAAAAATCACTTAAGTGTATTTATTATCAACAATTTATTAAGGACAAATTAAAATCCACATAGTTTATATCTTTTTGTGTACACTGATACAGCTTAGAAAATATTCTAAGAGTTAAAAAAACAAACCTTATTCCTAAAGCACACTGAACAAACTACACAAGCTGGCAATTCTTCTACTGATCAAACTTAACATTTGTTCAAATCACAAAACTTACCTGCATCATCAGACTCCTGAAACTGCGAATAGTCAACAACCTTCCTATTTCTGTAAAAAGAAGAGATTTTAATTACAACTTTTAAAATGTAGGCTTTTTCTATCAGAACAACTTTGTTTTATAAACAGAATTAGAACATTGAAAAAAATTATCTTAGGAATCACTTGAGACACAAAGGAGAACAAGATTCTATCCACTAAGCTCACTCTTCAAACACCCAGGACTAGGTCAGGTGGAGCCAGGATCCAAGAACTGCACACAGGCCTCCCCCGCGGGGTGGGGCTACAGCCCCTGAAACTGCGGCCCCTGGAGCTGCCAGCTCCGGCTACCTTCCAAGAGGGCATGAGGAGGAGCGGGGCCAGCCTCTCAGGCACTCCGACATGGCGCATGAGCAGCCCAGCTGGCATTTTCACCATAAGGATGGACACTGGCCTCTGAGGATTACTTTTTTTTCATAGTTTCCACTTCAGTCAAAGCACTTCACACTTCACACTTGTAGGAAAGGAGAGCTTAAATCTAAAGTGTTTTGAGCTACAGTCCTCATATTGATTCTCAGTGATAACTCAAATACTATTTTCCGCACAAAAATCACCTCCCCAATAATACACACAAATCAGCAAAATGAACCAAATGCCACATCCATTAGACACATTTACAAGCCAAAGTTATAAGCATTATTTTAATCATACTGCTATATATATATATATATACACGTAGATCTGGTAAGTATTACTAATATCTTTTCAAGGTAAGAGATACTTGTAGATAGTTAAATAATAATGCACAAAAATTGTAATTGCACAAAGTCTTACAAAGGAAACAAAAAACAGTCCCATCAAAACATTTTTTAAATGTAATATATAACTAAAGATATGAAAACCTCATAGACTTAAGATGACCTGAAGTATTTCCTACAGGAAGGCATCTACTAGTATCTTGAAAAAAATTTTTCCAATTCTAATTTTGTATTCATCTTAAAAATCTCTCCTTTGGAAACAAACAAAAAATTTCCATGATAGTATCCTTGCAAAAACCTTACATAAAAAATATACTGAATATACATGAAAAAAACAAAAATACTTTTTCATTAAAAAAATATATATATACACACACACACATACATATATACATATATATATATATGAAACAAGGCTCGGCGCAATGGCCTAGCAGCTAAAGTCCTCTCCATGAATGCGCCGGGATCCCCATATGGGTGCCAGTTCTAGTCCCAGCAGCCCTGCTTCCCATCCGGTTCCCTGCTTTGGCCTGGGAAAGCAGTCAGTCGAGGACGGGACAAAACTGTGGGATCCTGCAACTGCGTGGGAGACCTGAAGGAAGTTCCTGGCTCCTGGTTTCGGATCAGCTCAGCACTGACCATTGCAGTCACTTGGGGAGTGAATCATCGGACGGAAAATCTTCCTGTCTGTCTGTCCTCCTCTCTGTATATCTGACTTTACAATAAACAAAATCTTTTAAAAAAATATATGATACAGAGATATATGCCACCATCTCCTTTTACACCTGAGCAGAATACTCCTGGTTGTACAGCTTATGGAAGATACCACTAATATCAAACAGGGAAGCCAGAATGCAAGCCACAGTCCCATCTTCCAGCTCAGTATGCCAGGACAACAGATGGGGAAAGGAATTCTGAACATGTGGCTTGGGTCTTAGATGTAGTAGTAGAAGGTATAGTGACACCATCTGTTTTATAAGGGGAATTTTTTTAAGGGATTTTGCATTATTTCCTATAGCCTAACAAAACTTTGAAACATACTCTCACAAGAAACCAATACAGATATACCAGTAAGAAAGCCCATTTTAAAAACATGACTATTAATTCTACTTTCATAAAGGACCTAGAGTAGAAAGAGCTGGGTAGATTAGGAGGCAGTTACAAATGGATAAGACAGGAGGCCAGTGTGGTGGTGCCATTGAAATCCTATATGAACACCAGTTGGGGTTTAGGCTATTCCACTTAGATCAGCTCTGTAGATAGCCTGGGAAAACATTGGCAGGGAGCTTAGGTTCCTGGGACCTCTGCACCCCCATGGAAGACTCAGAAGAAGCTCCTGGACTCCTGGCTTCCGACTGGCACAGTTCAAGCTGTTGTGGCCATGTGAGGAGCAGAAGAACTAGCAGAAGAAAGATTTCTCTTCCTCTCCCTCTTTCAAATAAAAATATGTCTTAAAACAAAACATTTTTGTTTGTTCATGATGGCTTTTTCTTAGACTATCACTGGGAACACTTCACAAAGGTATAATGCAGTAATAAATATGGAAACTTGGGTAACTTGGAATCTTGGGTGCTGGTACTAGGTCATTCCTGCTGGAATCAACAAACTAAGCTGCCTAACAGATCTAAAAAAATTCTACAAAATTTACTAATGGAAAATATTGTATTTTTAAAAAGATTTATTTTTATTGGAAAGCCAGAATTACAGAGAAGGATATACAGAATGAAAGCTCTTCCATCAGCTGGTTCAGTCCCTAAGCGGCCAAAAGCCGGGAGCTTCTTCTAGCTCTTTCACACGGGTGCAGGGTCCCAAAGCTTTGGACCATCCTCGACTGCTTTCCCAGGCAGGGAGCTGGATGAGAAGTGGAGCAGCCAGGACACAAATATCTGATACTAGTGGTTGCAAGGTGAGGATTTAGCTATTAGGTTATCACATTGAGCCCCAAATACTGTATTTCCTACTGTAAACAGCACTCCTTGCACACACCTCCCACTTACCCCTATACCATTTTTGGGGTCACAGACCCAAGTACCATGACAAAATAATCATGTTTTACTTACAGCCACAGTTCTGGTACAGAATGAGGTAAAGTAGGCACTTGAATGTTCTTAGGGCCAAGTTATGTAGAAGCTTAATTTTTAAAAGAATTAATGCCCAATCTCCCATTAGTCTTGTAGCCACTTACCCAAGCAACCCAGGACATTTATAATTCCTTTAGTCTTTCTGTTGGTAACCATCTGGTCCTGCTGTTCCCTATCCTAGAGTGCTGTCCACATCACTTCCTCTCAGATCAGACACCTCAGCCCCTAAGTAACCTGAGTTCTTTACTAATAATCTATAATTACCCATTTTTCATGTCTGCTCAGGTAAAGTGTGCCTTTTGTGGCCAAGGGATTGTTGCTTCCTTACAGGGTTACTGAACCCAAGAAATGAAGCTAATGGAGCAGCAACTTAGCCCTGGCTGAAGAACAGTGAGGAAAAGGCTACAAGGCAAGGAGAAGGGCTAGAACACAGGTACTTCCACAGTCTAACTGATAACTCTCAGGACAAAGAATTCCTTTCTTCTATAGAGACACTTTGCTACTTTAAATTTAATAAGATTAAAAATACTACTCAATAGAGACTTTTCAACACAAGTAAAGAAATCCTACATTGGCCAATTTATGTAAAAAAGTATATTTCAATTTTAAACTGAAGTTCATTTCTTCCTTTGAATCAGCAAATATTTTAACTTTCAAGGTTTGACAATAACCAGAATGATCAGAACTCCTTGCATAATGTCAAAACTAAAGTGTGAGTATAGAAACTGTCCTCAGGGTAACTAGTCAAAAACACAGTCATCTACACAAAACGAGAGTCATTTGCACTAATTCATATAATGCTTGACAGTAAGTTGGTTCATTTCCTATATTATTGCCTTCCTTCTAACACTCACCCTAAATAGCACTCTAGTTCTACAAAGTCAGCCCTTCCAATCTGTGGGTTAAGGTATCCATGGACTGAACCAATAGCAAACTGAAAAAACATTGCTGATTTTTGTATCATAAAATGAGGGTTATGTTTAAAAGATGTGCCTTATTTACGGTTCAAATAGATTTTTAAAAATGAACATGTTGCTAGCAAAATTGGAAATTGCAAAGATATACTAGGATAAAGGCTCAGCACTTAATATTTTTAAGCCCCATGCACAGAAAGCTTCATTTTTAACAGAAAACACACTATATTTCTCAAAACATCACTGCTTAAATATCAAATATCAAAGCACAATAGCTCTTTAGAATAAAGCAAGTATCACTAACAAGAACAGGGAGGCCAACATAAAATTTCATTACATGAATGAAGTTAAAACGCTTTAAAAAATATTTTGTAAAAATTACTTAGTTGAGGGGCTAGCACATTGGCTCAATGGCTAATTCTCCACCTCCAAGCATGGCATCCCATATGAATGCCAGTTCATGTCCTGGCTGCTCCACTTCCTATCAAGCTCCCTGCTTGTAGCCTGGGAGAGCAGCAGAGGATGGCCCAAAGCCTTGTGACCCGGAAGAAGCTCCTGGCTCCTGGGTTCAGACTGGCTCAGCTCTGGCTGTTGTGGCCATTTGGGAAGTTAACAAGCGAACAGAAGATCTTTTCTCTCTGCAACTTTGCCTTTCCAATAAAATAAGTCTCTCTCTATATATATATATTTTAAAGATTTATTTACTTATTGGAAAGTCAGATATACAGAGAGGAGGAGAGACAGAGATCTTCCTGCATCCAATGATTCACTCCTCAAGTGAGCACAACAGCCAATGCTATGCCGATCCAAAGCCAGGGTCCAGAAACTTCTTCCTGGTCTCCCATACAGGTGCAGGGTCTCAAAGCTTTGGGCTGTCCTCAACTGCTTTCCCAGGCCACAAGCAGGGAGCTGGATGGGAAGTGGAGCTGCCGGGATTGGAACTGGCGCCCATATGGGATCCCAGTGCATTCGAGGTGAGGACTTGAGCTGCTAGGCCATGCCGCCGGGCCCAAGAAGAGTTTTTAAACTGAAAGCATTTTACAAGAAAAGTAAACTGTCTTATAAGTTCACGTTAAAATAAACCTGTTTAATATGTACAGGAATGATAAAGCATGATTAGCAGTAAGTTTTGCATTAAAGAAACCTGCTTATCTCCAAAATCACTTGTTTTAAAAACAAAATGGAATCAAATGTTAAGATAACTTCCCTGGAAGCCAAGAGCATGAGGACTATTGATTTAAACAGATCTTCCTCTCTGTGTATCTAACTTTACAATAAAAATTTAAAAAAAGAAAAATCTTTAAATAAAGAAAGAGTAA